GGCTGGGGGGAGGGGGGCTGGTGCGGTTTTGCCACGGAGGGAGATCATTTAGGGAATGGATGTGCTTTTCATTCGGGCTCTCTCTGAAGAGCAATGACACCTACAAGCCAATGGGTAACCTGAGACGCTTCGCCCACGTCCTTCACCAACCTGATACTGGAGCTACCTAGAATAAACAGGGCTTTAAAAAAAAATGCCACCAGCTTAAGTCCATCCAGGAAGGCTGCATCCCTAAACACACTTAAGTTATAGCTAGATCCATTAACATGAATATGATTAACTTCTAGGCGATTAACTCTGGGATTTGATAGTGACAGTCATGGCGATAATGACAACAGGCAAATTCCTCTTTCTATGGGACTCAGAGAGTGATGGTAAAGAGGGTACCCTCTCTATTGACAACTCCATATATTTGCAAGGCACTCCCTCTCTTCGCCCTCCCTTCCCCCACTCATTAGTGTGTAAGTATTAGCTATCGAATGCACGTTTTCTATATTATGTGGGCGCACACACAAATCATTTTGTGGGGGGGGTTGGGAAGAAAATGGCAGTGGAGAAAGAAATCTGATCAGTGACAAAACTCCCATTGATTTCAATGGGTCAGGATTTCATCCTTTGCCCTCCTTTGTATGTGGCAGTTTAACATGGATAGCGAAAGGAGAGACCAGCAAGGAAAAAAAAATTAAATTTCAGAGGCATTGTTTACAACTCTCCTCTGAAGTGGCATCGCTTAAAAACAAACAAAGCACTGTAGGCGCTGCAGTCCTTTCAGAATATACAACACAGTCAATTCCAGCCGTGTTGTGATTTTGGAATAGATTCCTTGTTTTAAGAACACATGACCAACCCCCCCCCCTCCCCAGCCTACTTCATATCTAGACTTACTTGGAAGCAGTGTTCCCTCTAAGATGAGTTAGCATGAGCTAGCTCACAGTTTTTTAGCCTCCGGCTCACACATTTTTGTCTTAGCTCAAGAAGGATGGCTCCAGAGCAAACTAATTTTTGCAGTAGCCAAATCACTGGCTCACAGCTTTAATGCCAGTAGCTCACAAAGTAGATTTTTTGCTCACAAGACTCCACAGCTTTAGAAGGAGCGTTGGTTGGAAGTAGTCCTTATTGCAGTCAAGTAAACTTGCCATGTATTTGGGATCTGGCTGTCAGTTTGCGGAAGTTCCATTACTACAAAGGGTCACGATCCTCTCTAAATCCCAGTCGCCACGGGTTTGATTAGGAGAGGGTTAAGTCCAGGCACTTGTTTGGCTCTCCCACTGAAATCAGAGGGGCTTGAAGATGCCTCATTTTGGTTGGATCGTATTTTGCAGCTCCCCCACAGAGAGATCGACAGAATGTAACACACAAGGCCCCAACAGTCCACGTGTGTGTCACTGGGAAATTCCCATGTTCAGCTCTGTGAGAAATGGCGCCTTTCCTTCACCTGGTTCCCAAAAGTCTGCTCCTAAATCAGGAAGTGAGGGACATTTGTAAACACTCATTCCCGCCTGAGCTTCCCTTCTCCTATGACTCCATAAACTCCCAGACCTGGGAGCCGCTTCGTGATCCTTCGCCGCCGAGAGCCTTAGGCCCCTGCACGACTGAGCTCTTCCTTCCTGTCTTTGCTTCCACAGGTACCGTCTATGGGACGCACGGGAGACGGGGCAGGCAAACCTACACCAGATACCAGACCTTAGAGTTAGAGAAGGAATTCCATTACAACAGATACTTAACCAGAAGGCGACGGATTGAGATTGCCAACGCGCTCTGCCTTACTGAACGACAGATTAAAATCTGGTTTCAAAACAGACGCATGAAGTGGAAAAAGGAGAGCAAACTGATCAATTCCACACAGCCCGGCGGCGAAGAGACAGAGGAGAAGCCAGGGGAGTAAGACCGTGCTTGAGCCATATTAACAGACCTTGCCTGGGTATCTTGCTCCCCCCCTTCCCCCCCTTCCGCTTTTCTTTCCACTAAACTCCCCCTCCCTTAGCTTTTTTGTGTCCTTTTTTTAAAAAAAAGTCTGGTGATTCTGAAAGGCTTGATTAAAATATATACATATTTATATAGAGATATATTTGAAATTAACTGTGAATTTTTGAATTATTGAATGTAGAGGTGCGCGGTGCGCGTGGTCAGGTCCCCCGCAGTATAGGTGGCTGTGTTTCACGTGCATCAGATCCCAGCACGACCCCTTTTTTAAAAACACGCTCAGAGACACGTTTTTGGGAAGGAGGGGGGGGGGCACCTGGCTGGTACAGCTGGCGGTCAAAACGCCCGAGCCCGGCGCTTGTACCCGGCGAAGCCCTCCAGCCTCCAGACTGGCCAGGCAGGGACAGGCGTCTTGATAGGCTTTGCTGCTAGCCCGAGATCAGGTGTTGCTCGCTCATTGCTCGACGCCCTTTCGCGTCCTCCCTGAACCCCGTTAGTCGGAAACGAGACCCTTTGGTTTCAGCGGGTCCGTCATGGCAACTGGAGGGCAGGAGAGTGTTAGAGGAAATGCGTCTCTTTGTGGGTAGGATTCAGACAGGACAAAAGAAGCGGCTGAAGGATAACATTCAAGTGTGTGTGTGTATGGGGGGGGGGGGTTTTTTTCAAAATATATTTTGAAATGTTGGTGATTCTCCAGCTGCATTTCCAAAATAGTCACAGGTGTTTTTTTTTTAATAAAATACTCAAAATCCTACATTTGTTTTAAAAAGGCAACACTGTAGTCAAAACTGTATACTCGTTGGAGGGGAAACTGTCTCTAGGGAAGCACATTTCTAGAGTTCTTGTTAGAACTAAAGAAAAGGTGTTTATTGACCACCCAGACAACTCCCCCCCCCATTTTGGGGCGCGGTGGACGGAGTTTGCAATAGAAGCTGGCAAATGGCTGGAATATTGAACTGTGTCTTTTATCCCTCCCCTTCCTGTTTTGTTAAATTCCATAATAATAATAGCAGTAATAATAGTAATAAATGAGAATCTAATAATCTAGAAACGCAGCTTCGATCATAGGATTTTATATGATTTGTTATTGGTAGGGGAAGGAGAAGGCACAGTTTCCTTCTCACAACAGTGTGGGGGGAAACATTGCTTGTTTCGTATATACATGTATGTGTGTTTGCTGTTCAATCTATATACATCTATATACAGAAACATGAGGATCTCTTTTGATATGCAGAGTGCTCCATTTGGGTGCCGGCTACGAATATTTTTTTTAAAAGTGAACTCACATACCATGTCTTTTTGCCAAAAGATGCATTATATTTATGCAAAAAGAAAACAGGAGGGAGAGCAGATCCAGCGGTGCTAGTGGTTAGATTCCATTAGATTTTCCGCCCTTTGTGAAAGCATGCCAGGCGACACTTCTGCAGAAGTCAAGCTGCTGTTTCAAATCTGCGCAAATAACAGCTCGATCGATCCCCCCCCCCATCCTCTCCCCATTTTTAAGCACTTGCCTCAACAATAGGTGCGGGAATGCTGAGATTTATTCTGTTCCCCCCTCCCCCTCCAAAAAATCCTTAAGTTTAAAAAAGCCAAAGTTATTTTGCTTTGAATTTACAATCTCTAGCAGACCAGAAATGACAAAAAAGCCCCAAAACAACCATGAAAGATTTAGAAAGAAATCGTATTGAAAATAAAGGATGAATATATTTCCGCCTTCGCTTCTGCATTCTTGCCGGTTTTGTGATCTGGAGCCGATAGCCCTTAACAATTGGTACATACTAATGGAACTGTGCGAGAGATGCCATAATTTTGCTATAATGGTCTGTAACCTCGATTCGACCCCAGCCCTGCTGCAGCCCCTGGCTGGGAAGGGTGAAGATCTCTCTTGTCTCCAGAGGGTGGCGCACGAGGCCGACTGACAGTCCGGAGCTGGCGGCGGGCTCGCGCGGCGGGCACGCGCCCCGGCGCTCCAGCATCCACCCAACTCCCCCATCTAGTGCACGAGTTTACCTCTAGAGGTCATCAGGCAGGATTTACGACTGGACAACAAAAGCACGTGACATGAAGTCGTACCCCATATTTGGGTGCCTACGTAGGAGGGAACCAAGTACATGTCCCAGTCATTTCCATAATTCATCATAAATTGTGCAAGGGTGCTATAGACGCACCAAAAAACGAAGCAAAGAGCCACAAATCAAGCCCCCCGATCAAAAAACAAATGAGCTCTTATTTTGTAAACTCATTTTGCGGTCGCTACCCAAATGGCCCGGACTACCCGTTACATAATTATGGAGATCCAAGTGCCGTGAGCGAGCAATTCCGGGAGTCCGCCAGCATGCATTCCGGCAGGTACGGCTACGGCTACAATGGCATGGATCTCAGCGTCGGCCGCTCGGCTTCCGGCCACTTTGCGGCGGCAGGCGGGGGCACCGAGAGGGCGCGCACCAGTTACCCCTCCAACAGCACTGTTGCCACCGCCGCCCCCGAGGCCAGGTACGCCAACCGGGCGGCGGCCGCGGCCACGTCGACTCACTCGCCTCCGCCTGACCCTCTGCCCTGCGCCGCCGTGGCCACCTCGCCTGTCAGCGGCGACGCTCACCACGGCGGCGTGAAGAACTCCGCCGCCAACTCGGCCACCACCACCACCAGCAGCAGCAGCATTTCCTCCGCTTCCTCCAGCAGCAGCAGCAATACCACCAGCACCAGCAGCAGCTCTGGCAACACCCACCTAGGCAGAGACGGGCTCAGCACGTCGCCTGGCACCGAAGACGACCCCCCGGCCGGCAGCGAGCAGGCGAACCCCCAGCAGAACCAGCAAAGCACAGCCCAGCAGCCTCCACAGCCCCAGATCTACCCTTGGGGCTGGGGGGCAGGAGGGTGGACTGGTGCGGCTGTGTGGTCTCTGTGTGGTGTGTGTGTGTGTGTGTGAGAGAGAGAGAGACTGGATCCGGGGCGACCCACTGGTCCCTCCTGCAAAGGGCTGTGCTGTCCCGGGCAGGGCGAGCCAGTCTCTCCTCCAAGTCTCCAGGGCCGTGAGGTGTCCTTGAAATAGTGGGGCGAGAGAAAGAGAGACCTGAATAGTGAATGTCAGCCGTCTGTAATTTATGACGAGGACGGTCCAGTGAAAAACAGCGTTACTAATTATATCAAAAAAAGAAGTTGAGCAAATACAGAGAGAGAGAGAGAAGAGTGGGGGGGGGGATGCTGGGGGAGATTCTCTGGGAGGAAAGGAAGTGGAAAGGAACTTCAGAAGAGACAACTGGGGGGGGGGAGGCTCTGAAGTCGCTACAAATTTGGAAGTCCCTCTCACCGATTTTGACTTCCGCCCAAAGTCTGCCTTCAAGCTGGGCTTGGGAAAGGTGCTCTCTCTCTCTCTCTGTGTGATTACCTTTTTGTACCCTGGTCTAATAAATAGCCAAGAAACTTAGGTCCAGAAAACAGAGCACTGCTAGGAAGGCAGTCCCTCGAAAGCATGGGGTGCTGACTCGCAAGGCATAATGTCTGAAGGGTCTGGGGAGGGAAGCTCTGCCTGCTCTCTGCCTGAGTTGCCTCTGGACTGAAATTCGCCAGCACATGATTCCGGGGGGGTGGGGGGACTGTCTCAACTCCACAATGCTGGATATTATTTAAGGAAAGAAGAGGGGGCTGGAATGGCTGGGGGGGGGGAGGTACTTGTTGAGCATTTCTCCAAGAGAACACAAATAAAACAAACCAGAGAAGAAAGAGGGGAGGGGAGGGGAGAGAGAGAGAGAAAGCGACAAGGAAAGGAGCAGGTCCCTGTCGCCAAAACTCTCACCCGCTTCCCCTTTTCTATTGCAGACAACATAGGGGGGCCCGAAGGGAAACGGGCTCGGACTGCTTACACCCGCTACCAGACCCTGGAGCTGGAGAAGGAGTTTCACTTCAATAGATACCTGACCCGCAGGAGGAGAATTGAAATCGCACATGCTCTTTGCCTCTCAGAGAGACAAATCAAGATCTGGTTCCAAAACAGGCGCATGAAATGGAAAAAGGATAACAAGCTGAAGAGCATGAGCATGGCAGCGGCAGGAGGAGCCTTTCGCCCCTGAGAGCCACCCCAGCCCGGCTTCTTCCTCCCCGGAAAGGGAGGAAGGGAGGCGGCGGCGGCGGGGGGGGGGGAGAATAAAAGTACTGTGCAGTATTATACGAGCTGACCCTGCGTGGAATGCCAGGCGTCGATGCCTCCCTCTCCCGCTTTCTCTCTCTTTCCCCCTTACGTTGACTTGCCCCCAACTTCCCCGGGAGGCTTCCGCCAAAGAAGCTCCCCGTCATCTTTTAATCATGAGCATGTTTAATTGAGCCTCCCTAAGGGCGTGTTTCCGGTAGATCTGCTCCCCCCCCCCCCCGTGCATTTCTTTGTCTTGAATGGCTTTGTCTTGGGGAAAAAATGTAGATGTTTTAACTTATTTATATGAAGCGAGTGTGTTACTTGAAGTAACTGTAAAAGGGGGGGGGGAGACCTACACACACATACAGAAAAAGGCCAGGAGAGAGATCTCCCCCCCCTTCTCTCCCCCTCCTGTTTAGCCCCCATGTTCTCTGTGTTGCACTCGCTTGTGCTTAACCGTGCATGTGTGTTCAAAAAGTGTCAGTGTCTGTATAGCTCCAAGCTGTGGCCAAGATTTCCAATCCAAAACTACCTAAATTCCTGTGTCATTAATGGCTGTTGTAGAGGTGAAATGATGAAATACAACTGAACGTGTTCTAACGTGTAGTGAATAGTGAATCTGTGACGAAAACTGTGATTCCAGACAGTATGTCCTTGCTGTGCCTTTGTATGACTCTTTGCACGAACTCTTTAGAGGTGGCTTTGGTTCAGCTCAGCTCCGGTAACGTCTAGTTCTTTTTCGGTTTTGTTTTGTTTCTTTTTGTGAACGAAGTTAAAAATAGAGTCACAGTCTGGCTGTCTGAGCAAAAATGTGATCTGCTTTTTTTAAAAAAAAAAACATGTTTTTTTTAAGTACTGACTGGACGAATAAACTTTCTATTGTAAGTTTTTCCCACCTTTCTTTCTCTCCACCCCCCCTTTGCGCCTACTCTGGTTTGTGCCTCCTTAGTTTTGTCTATCCCAATAGAGCAAAGTTGGAGAAGAAACGATCTCTCATGCAAATAATCCCAGCGCAATTGCCCAACATACCGCTGGAGCTATTAAATTCCTCTTTGGATGGAACGTGACATTATGTATCCACATTTGTGGGCAGGAGGAAACCGGCCGAAGGTTTGCTGTGGGGAAAAAGTCACCCTGCCTTGCTCAGTATCTCTAGGTCCTGTTTGTCTTCTCATAGATTTACCCTTGTACCTATAGATTTAGGAGACCAGTGTTCCAAACCCTCGCCAGTCTGTAAGCACGATCCAGTACCGCCAACACCCACCCATCCCCATAATCGTCCCACTTTTCTCCTTAAAACATTATGGGGTGGTTTACTCTTCTTATTACATTTTGCTACAGCTAGTTTTGCTAGAAATGTAACGTTACTTACCCCCACCAGGGCTTGAATGGTTAACTCTTCTGAGCTTCTAAGAGCAACTAAAGATTTGCACATTTACTGACTGGGTACATTGATGTCTTCCTTTAGAAGTTATAAAACAATAAACTTTGTAAGCCCCAGTTCCGGCTATATGACATTTGGTGCCAAATGAATAGGGTTTTGTCTATGAATTAGATCGTAAAATCATCCATAGTGCAGACAGATAGGCTCACTGGCTATAAAAAGTCACGTGGTGCCATTAAAGTAAGTTTTATGGTTTTGGGGAGTTGTCATCCAACAATATATGCCACATAACATATAATCTCACTGACGCTGGACTTCATTTGACTCTTTTGCAGGCTACGGATGCCTCCTGGTCATTCCAATTGTCAGGTTTAGGTACAGGAGTATCTATTGCCCAAGTTCTCAATATCTTTGTGAAAAAAAATGGCTCCTGGCAAGTTAAGGTAAGTTCTGTGCACAAGTTCCTTGAGTTTATTTTGTACGGTGGAGAACTCGGCTTTCCTCGCCTGGGATTCTTGAATGATCACAGTGATTTCTAAAGGTTTTCTTTTAAAGACTGCAGGTTTATACTGGGGGAGAGAAGGACTTTCCTTCACTCTTCTTGAATTCTTCAAGCTCAGCAGTTAGTTAACTCAATATTTTATCAATCACATCCCAAATAATCCACAATAAGTGACTTTGGCAGAGATGGATTTTGAGGCCTAACTTTAATTACTTTGACTACAGCAAATGATAATGACTTCCTTTGCTTCACGGACTTCCCAGTTTCCAATGATTTTGTTTATCGAGGAAGAGAAAACCGCAGGCGACTTTTTAAAAAAAGGCTACAGCCAGCTATCTGTAGAACTGACCAGCATCCCTCTCTTTGTGGATGTATCAGAACTGGAGAAACTTTTTGTCTCTTAGAACGTGGGAGTTGCTCTTGGCGCTGTTGAGTTTGTGTTTGTGTTATTTTGGATTTCTCTGTGTTCAGAACCGACTCTACCTATATGTGTGTGTCTCCATATACAACGTACACAATTATGCCAGTGTATTTTCACCATTTTCTTTCTTCTGGAAGGACCAAGTTGACTGTAACAGGAGCTCCTACATCCCATTAGAGTACTTGAAATTATGAAAGACAGCCGAGGTTTATGGGCGATTGTAAATACCCCCCCCCCATATAGATATCTTTATTTTTTTACTGGCTGGCAATTGCAGGGTAGGCCCCAGCTGCCTGTTTATTATCAGCATTCTTTTTATTTAAGTAGACTCTTCTCACCAGAGTGTGATTACTCAGCAATAAACTTTATGGCCGGATTTAACTTTAGGTCTTTGAATTTGCAGGGTTGAAAGAAAGCGCGAAACAGCATCCCTTTCTTTCCCCGCTGGGCTTCTTCCCTTCTTCCCTTTCTTCCTTGGTAGAGTCAGGGTCAGATCCTGGAAATCCTTACTCATTCCAGCCGTAGGCAGGCCAGTAATGTCTTTGTATTTCCTAGTAATTAAATTCTATGCAGGTGAATTAAGATCTGGTATGACGCAAACCTAATTATTTGAAAAGAGAGGATAGATGGACTGATAGATTCTCTAGTTTGGAAAGTGTTGTGATTGGGCTGCTGAAATATTGGGGGTTTAAAGTGGAGGTTTCCCTCTTTCTTGATAAGAACCTGGTCGTGTAGCAGTTTTACTAGATTCTTTCCTGTGGGTAAACAGTCCATTCGGATCCTAGAAGAACAGTCTTCTTCCCGTTGCAAGAACTAGCATCCGATCTTTGGTCAGAAGAAAGTCCGTGGTCCTGGGATATTTACTCCCCAAAAGCTTGTGAAATATTTCAACCAAAGTGGGCCCCGTTTCCTCCTATTTTTTTTCTTACCTCACTTAAGGCCTGGAGGGTGTCTGACAGCCTAACGACACTTACTCTGTATTTTAAAATGTCCTCTACGGCAAGAGGTTCCCGAAATAGAAGAACCTGGTTTTTTTATGCTTTGCCTCCGAAACACTTTTTGAAGGTTAGGAAAGTTTCTTACAATATTTCTAGATTCTCATGATAAGTGAATTGCCATTTTTACAGGGTCCCCCCCCTTTCCTAGATTATTAGTGTCTTTCCCTGAACACCGAAGAGTGAGTTGATGTATACATAACAAACAGGCGAGGGAAATTTAAGTGCCTTATACATTAGCTCCAGCGCTACTTTGTAGAACTAATCCTATACAACCTAATCCTAAACATATTTGTCGCTTTCCTGGCACCTGCTTTCCCAACGTTCCTGTAGCACCAATGTCAGTAAACCTGTTTGAACGGAGTGGTTGGAATTGTACCTCGCACAATCCAGAGTGCAAAAAGTCCACCAACTATTGAATGCTGCGGCTGCTGTTGCGGCTGCGGCGGCTGCTGGCCTGGTGGGGTTCCCAAGCAGAGCAACACTTTCGTAGCCATGCAAAGCCAAGCCGCTCTTGAAGCCAAACACCCTAATCCATAGTCCAGTTTTTTTTTTTAATGCCTGGATTTAAATATATCCCATTCCATTACTATCAATGGGACCATGTCTGGGTTCCTAATGCCCTTTCTTGAAAATGAGTAGCCTAGAAACCCAGGGGATATACCTCCGAGTAAAATGGGCAGCTCCCTTGTTCAAACTGCAAAGCTACTTCAGTTTAAAGGGGCAGGAATCCAGTTTATCCCTCACCCAAACTGACACCCTGGGGCTCAGATTAAATTAATGGGAGACGTTGTTCTGGAAGGGAGTGGTTTAAAACTGCGACCCACACTTCTCTGGAAGTGAGTCCTTCTTAAAGCGGTTGGGTTTACTTCCATGCAGGGCTATTGCCCATTGTACGACAGAGCAACATTTTACCTGAGCTTCCGCTTTGTTGTGCAATAGGGAAACACAGTCCCTTGACTAGAAATTTTAGTTACTTATCCATCTATCTGCCTGCCTGTTTATTCATAACATTCTGTTCCATTCATTTATCTGAATGTATAGGTGGGTTGGATGGTTGAACAGAAAGATGGGATCCGCAGAAAAATTCAGGGTAGTCGCATAAATGGTGGCATACTCGCTTGTACTTCCCCCACAAAAACCCTGCAGCTCCCCCCAAATAAATATCTGGAAAACCGTCACTATATATCAATGTAGTTTTCAACGTCAAAACACACAGACAAGGAATAACTCACACGAAAATTGAAATATTAAATTTCTTCAGAAAGACTATTCGAAACATAATCTATTTATTTATACTATGAGCAAAGTTGTTTCCTGACGATGACTGCCCTGTTCACTGTATTGTATTTAAACTGACTGGGGTACAGTTTATTTTACTTAAATAATAGTCACTGAGCTTCTGAATATCAGATACAGGTCAGTGATCTAAAGGTAAGAACCAGACCAGCCATAGTGTTTGTGTTTACAGCCAGGAAGTTAGAGAGCTCCAGTTTCTTTAAAGTGTAAAATGGATTTGAAAGTCACATGATAGGTAGGTCTGTTAGTGCCCTTCTTAACAAAGCCTCATGGGAAAATCCCTAGTCCCCCCATCTAGTCTGTATCTAAAAAGGTGACACTACACGCTCTTCTTTCCCCCTATAAGGCCAGTTTAACTTTCCATAACAGGGCATTGCATTTTTATATATTATATGGCTTATTGA